ATCAAATCAAATCAAATCAAATCAAATCAAATCAAATCAAATCAAATCAAATCAAATCAAATCAAATCAAATCAAATTCAAATCCATTCAAATCAAATTATATATTCAAATCTGTTTGAATTGAATTGAATCAATCTGAATTCGAATCCATTTGAATCAAATTATATGTTCTATATATTTGAATCAAATCAAATTGAATCAAAGTACAATTCAGATTCGATTTGAATTCAATTTGAATGAAATGAATCAAAAATTAAGTGATTCAAATTGGTTCAAATTTCATTGATTCATTCAGAGCCTTACTTGAGGAATTGTCAAAAATCAAAGATTACAATTGCAGCTGGGTGAGTGGCCTCAAATATTGGGTTTGCATAACTAATTATCTATAATAAAAGTTTCTTTAACTTTCTATCTCTATTTAATAAAATAAATAGAAAAGATTACTTACTTGATCAATTAACTTTTCAACATTCCACCATCCATCCTGGACTTGTCATCACTCTTGCTTTATGAGGAATTGACTCCCCAAACTCACCAATTTGCTGTTGATTTAGTTTTAATCTTCCAATAGTGTTAGTAATAAATTCACTTATATGGACTGATCTGCCTTGTCCTTTTTTTTCAATGGTTGTTCTCCTTCAGGCATCCAGCCAGCTTTCAATCCATCATGTGTTACCAGTACATGAAGTTTTTCCCCTTCATTTAATTCTGGATTGATTTGGACTTCAAGATTATCACCTGAAAATATTGGCATTAATTTTTGAAATCTATATTAAAAATCAAGTATTAATTAACTATGTTTTTTTAAATGATAATCATTATAATAAATTCACAACTCACTCACAACTCCATTTCCTCCAAAAATTTATTCCTATATTCAACCACATCACTTTTTTCATATCCATCAAAATAAAGACCTTTTTATATTTACCATATATATAACTCATTTTCTTCAGCCATCTGTTTGCTGTTGATAAACTTAAAAAAATTTTTATTAATTAAGAATAATTTTTGAAAATTAATTGTTTCATTTCTCACCTGATTGTCATCTCATTTTCAACCCCTATACTAGGTAAGGTTGCTTGCCAAAACTCATATCAGCAGGGTTTTGGCATGTTACACATTAATTGTTTATTAGAGTTTCAGCAGAGTTTCACATTTTGAGGTTTTGCCATTTCAGCATAGTTTCAACAGGATTTTTGATAAGATTTAATGTAGTTTTGCCATGGTTTCAGCAATTATTAAGGAGGTTTCATCCACAACCTTAATACTAGGAATACATCTTTAGCAATAAATTATTAACTGACACATTAAATTTTTCTTTCTTAAAAAAGATGATATTTAACCTGAACATTCTCATCATCAATAATGCTTCCTCTTAAATTTTCTTATATGAAATATCACCATATTTTATAAATGATTTTCCCCAACTTATACATTTTGAAAACCATGGACCTTTATTTAAAATTTCTGAAACTAAATCTGCTGCCTTAATTTTTTTATGGTTTTTTTTAATAATTCAAAATAATATTGCAAAGCTTGTAATCTTAAACAATAACCTTTTGCAACATCAGATGATTGATCAAGCTTGATTTCAATATCTTTGATCAAATCATCATAATTTATACTTAATTTTTTTTTTGAAATTATCAACTATTCCTAATTCATTATTGACTGTTTCTGAAATTTGTGAGTCATTATTTTGAGTCATTCCTTCATGAGAATTTAAAAATTGATCAAAAGTTTTTGACCATTTTTATTGGTATTTTCTTTTGTTGATGCTTTTCTTCTTTTTTATGTGCTCTTTGAATTTCCATGATAGGTTAATGGCTTTATAATTTTTCATATTATTAGTCAGTAATTGAAATAAAGATTCACTATTATTTTCAAGTTCCTCATCAAAATATGGATACATTTCTTCAAAGTCTTCTTCAGAATTAACAGAATCACTATTGTCCCTAAAAAAGAAATATTCAATTAATTATTAAATTTATATTATCAAATTAAATAATAATTTCTCACTCAATTTCATTACCTTCTAGTTTCTTGTTTCGACTGCACAGAAACTTTTGCAATATTTTTTAAGTGCTGAGTTCTTTTTTTAATTCCAACCATTTTAAAAAGATTTTATTAAAAATTTTTTTAAATATTGTGATTTGACATTTTTACTTCATAATTTGGGCTGACATTAAACAAAATTGGCCGGAATTATAGGGGGTCAATTTCAAAATTTTACATATATAAACTCGATAAGTCGGTCACGCGATAAGTCGGTTTTGGCCTAACTCGGCCAAAATTTTCCGCCCCT